ACCTGGCCTCAAAACGACGTCGTTTTGAGGCCAGGTCAATTAAAAAAAAATTTGACTGAGCCTTGGACCAAACGACGTCGTTTGGCAAGGCTAGTTTAAAAAAAAGAAGACCCGCAGCGCGCACGCACAAGGCACAGCGCAGCAGAAGAAGGAATGGCTTGGGACTTTCATCGAGCACTTGGTGTGCATACCAGGGGTCGCCTAGCAACTGTCCAAGGGGGCTTTCATGGAGTCCCTTGCCAAATTTCCAGCCTTCCAAGGGGTCGTCCGACCCCTCTTGTCCCAACATGCGTCTGCCCCTGCTTGTGAGAACAATATGGTGAAATATGATCTTATGAGTTTTTACGTACACATTATAATTAAGCACATCAGCTTGCCTTTTATACCAAAACATTTTCCAACTATGCAAGCGATATTGTATATATTTTCTTAAAACAAACCCATGATAAAAGCACATGGTTATAAGTGTGCTCAATTTGCTTGCCTCCCACACAAAGTTCCAATGAAGATGGGCAATTCTGGAGAAAAAATGAATATGGGCAATTCAAGCCATAATATGGGCCCGACCCGTTTAGATTAAGCATGGCAGGATCTATGCTATGTTGGGCCGGGTATAGCAACACTTTCGGCATTAAAAGAAAATTTTAAAATAATTGATGCTATTTTTTTTCTTTGATACAAGCAATAGGTGAGGGTATTTGAACAGAGAAACTCAGGTGCACGGATAACTATTCTTAACCATTTGAGTTACAAATCCTTTGTAAAATTCATAGTATTGATAAGATTATGGAATGAACATTATTCTGATTTTCAACACAAGAACAGTCACTGGGAAGTTGCTCATTTAGAACAAGCAATTTAGCATTGTCATACAAATCTCAACAACATTTACAAAATGGACAGGGTGCAAATGAAGGAGCCATTGTTAAGTAGTCATTGTATTATTTTACCTCAGAGCAATTATCTGAGCCTACAGGTTCTTTCAAGCAGCTAGATATTGCCACTACTGCAGCTTCAATCGCTCCGTCTTCTCCCTGTTCCATTCCATCCAGCAGATACAAGTTACAACCATACTCTTTTTCTTCAGAAAATCTTGTGCAATGCAAACAACCTCATTACAAACATAGATATATCTGAGCAATGAGGGAACTTCACCTTCTCTTTCCAGTAGAACATATTTCCATATTTCCCGGCCAAACGGCTCCAAAAGCTACGTGGAACATCAAGATCAACGGAAGCCCCCACGTTGAAGTTCAGTATATTGCCTGCTCAAAGAGAGGAAGAGACCCATCAATACAAATAATCTATGGTCGAGGTAGTACAAAGAAAAGAGGAAAAAACTCATACAATATAAGTTAAAACACAAGATTGGCATGTATGAATACATTACCAAAGGTGGGATCAGCAACAAAGACAATAGTTCTATCATCCACTTGCCAGAAATCTTTAATTGCCAAACCTGCAAAACATGGAAATATTGCAAAACCAGGGTTAATTTTATCTTCTCACACATTCAGATTGGTCTCTTAACAATAATTCTAATTTACAATTTGGCAACATAAACATGTTAGACTGTGTGACAAGAGAGCATTTGCTTGCAAAACCCTAAACAAATATATAGAAATTTAAAAAAATAAAAGAAAACACTCTGAATGCCAAAGTCTTACAGAATATTAAGCACACCTGGTGTGTCAGGATAGTTCTGTGCAAGAACCCTCAACTTGAATCCAGTATCTTTCTCTATGTTATCAATCTCTTGGGCTAGTCTTTTCTCCTGAAAATTACCATACATTAATTATAAGCACCTCAGCTTAATTCTTAGATTTCAATTTTGATGTCAATGTTCAAAAGACACCACTATGATATTATTAATGTCCCATATAATAGTAATAGATGCAATGCAAGTTTTCCATTTTCAATTTCAACCCAAGAATCCAGGAAATCCATATAAAACCAACAAATAAGCAATAAATAAGAAAACACACCTGACCATCAGAGAGGAAGCCAGCTACATCAATTACAGGACTGAACTCTTTGGGAAGCAATTCTGGCTTGTTCACCCCAACTTTTGCCTCCACAGGTCCTACTCCTGCAGAAATTTAAAGGCTTCTTCACATTTTCAGCATGTTAATCTTTTATGCAATTGCAGAAAATGAGAGTACTTGCCTGAGAGAGATAATCCGAGCGTGAGAGCCCCCGAGAGCACTAAATTTAAAGATTTGGACCGAAACTCCGGGACCCAGTTGCTCAATTGTGTTGGCTTTTGGGTTGAAGAGAGATGAGAGGACGCAGCGATCAGTGGTGTGAATGGAAGACGTGAGGTTGTTTGGGAAGTGGGAGATGAACATGGAGGATGGAGAAACGCCATTGTTTATTCAGCTGGGACCGTGGCAGCTGCAAAGGCTTTTAGGATAATGGAAGACGTGGGCTATTTTCTATTTCTGTTCTTTTTGGGGGGTTTTTAACATTTTCACCAGGGATTCTTTAAAAATCTCCAAAATTCGGCTTTTTTTCATTACTTTATTTTCTAAATAATCCGGCTGTTAAAAGAAGTCCCAAATTCCCAATGATAATTTTATAAAAATTTTAACCCACATGGAAAAAAATACATGTAAAAATCCATACATCATAATTTACCTAATTTGTGTGACTTACAAGTGATTGCACGTATTCGAAGTTTATGCTAAACTCATAAAGGAAGTAAGTCGTAAACATTTTCTTCACCACTCAGCAAATAGAACTATAGATTTTCAGATTCCATTTTCTTTTTGGGGTACTACGCCTTAATTGTATTTTGGTGACAAATTCCGTGGGAAAGGATTTGTTTCATCAGACAATGAGGTCTCTCTTTGAACCAGACTGCTTGAAAACAATTGTGACTTATAATGAGAAAGCTCAAAGCCTCAAGCCTGCTATATTAAAGCTTTTATCACAATCTGCGGAAGGCAATTCTAGTTCCCTTTCCACTCAATAAACTTGTGTTTGGGAGTTGTTTCACTAACTATAGCTGCAGGCTAAACAACATTAGGAAAATAACCCTTTTTCCGAACAGCAATTTGAGCAAACAGCTTCTCAAGACTTCCATTGTCAAGCAGAAAGAGATGCTGCATCATGTAGCAACTCGGCTAGCATTATACCATCTATATCCATCCATTATCCACCATTTATCAAATTGTTCATAATCTGCACCTCAAATTCTCAATTGCTTAAATTTCAAATTATCCTCGCAATCGAAAAAACCAACCATTTGCAGAAGAAGAAAAAATGATCATATGACACAACGCACTGGCATTCAAAAAGGCAGGAAGCCTGATACTGATAAAGGAGAAGATTCTGCTTTTAGCCCTCAATACAATACATAATAAACATTATATCCTTCATGCTATGAGAGTTTCAGCTCAGTAAAACTTAAACAAGGCCAATTGAAACAATCAAGTTTAAGGGAAATAAACAGGCCAGTTGAAATAGTAGGAATCTCTGAGATCCTTGTCCATGTACTGGTTCCACTGCAACAAGAACCAAAAAAAAAAAAAAAAAAACCCAAGTTTCATCAACAAAAGAACAATATAAAAACCCACAAAATCTCCCAAATGGGTTCTCATTAGAATCAGAGAAATTCTTGAAATTTCAGCTTGCCCAACATTTGAGACACAACCCAACATACCTTAAATTTGTAGGGCTCCCCTTTCTTCATGGCCTTCTTCCAGTGATACTGCTCAAAGCACATTGCTTTGTCATGCCAGCTGCAACAATTTTCAAATTGTGAAGAAAAAAAAACAGAATTAACAAACAGAAACATAAAATAGCAACAAATTCACAAACTGGGTAATTATCAAAACTAACAAAAGATGACCTACTTGAACTGATTGGAGAGCTGCCACATGTAGGGGTTGACCCAAGTGAGTGCAGAGAAGGCAGCGGACCCGATCCATATGTTCACAAAGCGTTCCGGGTCGGCATGTGGGACCCCCGGGTCTCCTCTGTACGCGTTCCCAAAATACTTCTCCATTTCTCAGTCCCTCTCTCTCTGTGGTTTCTTATCCTCCATCTCCGATGAGCACAAAGAACATATTTATACTATGGGTTTTTAATTTGGGCTGGGCCGGGTACACTAAAAGGCCCAAAAAGAAGTCCACTAAAGGCCCAGATGCCTCTTAGTTTAGTGGCAGAATTCTATAAAAGTAAACCCAAGACCCCCCCAATTCTCTTCATCGATCTCACTTCTCTCTCTCTCTCTCTCTCTCTCTCTCTCTTCGTTCCCAAATCTCCCTTCCGTTTGAATTTTGATACCAAACATTGCCAAAGGGGTCTTACCAGGGATTTATCAATTTCTATTTTTTTTTTCAAATTCATAAATTCCCTCCATATCCTCAACCTTCTTCACTCTCTCAAACCCTAACCCTACTTGCCTCTCCTTCCTCCTCTAGGGTTTCGCGATATTTCGCTCAATCTGATTCCAAACTCTGCTCGTTTACTTCTGATTCGTGTTCCGGAGTCTTCGAATCACTGCAAGGCTCCGAGAATTGCGTTTATTTCACTCCAATTTCTAACTACCTCTCGCTGCTTCTCTTTCTGGGTTTTTTTCTAGGGTTTCTCATTGTCAGCTGGTAGAGTCCTCCTATTTTCTTTCGCTTTTATATGTTTTTGTTTGACTGCCGAGAAAACGAGGGAAAGGGAGGGAAGATGCGCGGGTTTTTGCGGGAACAGGCTCATGGGTCGAATGATTTGAGGGTTCGAGAAAAAGCCCAGTGATATGAGGGTTTGAATATGAGCCTTGAATATGAGCCATGGAGAAGCGGACAGTAGCAGCAGAGTGAATGAACCCAGTAGCGAAGCTTCGAGAAGAGGAGGAGGAGGAGGAGGAGCCGATGAGTTTGGCCGAGCCATATCTACGGTTGCGGTGGCGCAGATATGCGAGAGCGTTGGGTTTCAGAGCTTCAAGGAGTCTGCTCTGGACGCTCTCGCCGACATTGCCATCAGATACCTCCGTGACTTAGGGAAGATGTCGAGCTTTTATGCTAACTTGGCTGGCAGAACCGAATGCAATGTTTTTGATATTATTAGAGGGTTGGAGGATTTGGAGTCACTGCAAGGGTTCTTGGGTGCTGCTGAGGTCAGTCATTGTCTTGCAGGGTCTGGGATAGTGAGAGGCATTGTTGAGTATGTGGGTTCGGCTGAGGAGATCCCATTTGCACAGCCATTGCCTCGGTTTCCGGTGATCAAGCAGCGGAGATTAATTCCGAGTTTCGAGCAAATGGGGGAGGCGCCACAGAGTAAACATTTGCCCAATTGGTTGCCGGCTTTCCCTGATCCACACACTTATATTCAAACACCAATGTGGAATGAGAGGAAGACCGATCCCCGAGAAGATAAAATTGAGCAGGCTAGACAGAGGAGGAAGGCTGAGAGGTCTTTGTTGAGTCTGCAGCAGAGGTTGTTGTGCAATGGTGAGGCATCTGGTTCAGGAGGAGTCTCTGTTGCAGTACCATTGGTTAGTGGTGGTGGTAATGATGGAAAGGGATTATTATTACAAGGGAGTGAGAGTAATCCAAGTAATCCATTCCTTGAACCGCCTATCCAGCCGGGAGAGAAAGATGTATCAGTGTCCGAAGTTGTCTTGCCATCCAAGTTTTTGGATGAAGTGGGGCAAGGGAAGAATGGCGGTTCTTCGGTTCTGGATGCATTTACGCCCGCCATTGAAGCAGTGAAGAATGGGGTGTGGAGTGATGGAGATGATGAGAGAAAGCAGCTTCTTCCAGATACGAGGCCTGCGATTAATTTCAAGTTCAGAAGTGGGAAGAAGTTTCTGGGAGAATCTTCGGATGTGAGGCTGCAAAAGAAGGGTTCTGGGAGACCAGCTTATTGGTTTGGGCGAGATGAGGAGAGGGATGACAAGAAGAGAAGAGCCGAGTTTATTCTTAGACAATCTATGGAAAACCCACAGGAACTCACTCAGTTGTAGATTAATTTTATTGACTGGTTTTCTTCATGGGAAGCTCTTAGCACCTAGGGATTTAGCAGTGGGCTATGGAGGCTCAAAGTAGAGGCTGTACTTGTTGTTCTAGTATACTCTAGTTTTAGTCCCACTCTTACAATTTTTTTAAGAGGTATGTGAATGTTTTCTTTCAATTCCATGTTTACCCTTTTTCTCTGTGAACCATTCTTCTAGGATGAAGATTTTATTTGTTTTCCCCACCAGCTGATATTTTGTATCAACACATTGAATTCTAATATTGAGATCTCCTTTTGAGCTTGTCTATTTTCTCAACTTCTATTCAAAGAAAAGCCAAAAGGACAACCAAAAAGTATGAATGGATTATAGAGTTTTGAGTCATGATCACATGCTGCTTCCGTGAATTGGAAGGGATTAAATTATATACGAAAACAGCACAAAACAATTCTGACAATTTTCTCAGCGAAAAAGAAAGGAAAAAGCAACAATTTTGCATCCCAGATAACTAGACGGTTTTCATTTTCTATGACATTGATGGGAGAAGTGGTCGACTTGAAGACAAAATGATGAGCTGGGATCATCAGCTGTAACTGGATCGTCCACTTAGGTATGGGGGAGACTAAGTTATCTGTAAATTTCTTTCTACATTTCACAAGCACAAGCAGGCCTAGCTACTATCATGGGTCCACTGGAATTATAAATAGAAAGCTCTCAATCACCTCCAAGTTTAGATTACTTCAAATGGCTAGGCCAGGGCAACAACAAAGTCAGCAGCTATCTGGTCAAGGAGCTACATATGTGAAGAGAAAATACAACATAATCCAAGAAAACCAAAACATGTATAGAAACAGAGAATTCCATGATTTGCCAAATGCAGAAACAGCAGTGATCTGCCAAATGCTGCCGCTCTCACTAGAGGCCAGTTAAAAAAACTGAAATCGATGCCCTGCTTGAATACACCTTCTTCACTTGATTGAAAAGACCTCAGTGTTTCAACTTCAAATCCATCTCCACGGGGAACACTCTGGCACGATGGTTGAAGATCATAAAGTCTAGGTTGGCTGGTAGAGAAACGATCCTGCATTCCAAAATAAACTGGATGTCAATAATCCAATCAAGCATCTCGCATATAAAAATTTTAAAGTCAAAATAGCTATTATTCCACAATTCTGAATTTCAAGCACATAGACCATAAAGTAAATAGCAACAGTATCTCACTCGTACAATTTTCTCTTACAAGGTTTATACTTAAAAGGAGCACAGATAGCTGGCCATTGCCATGATGAAGAGTACACATTAGTCTTCTGACTTATCTCTATGAATATGCAACAAAACTTGGCCCTCTTTTAGTCTTAATAACATTACAAATTTATTTTATGCAAGGATGACTTAGCTTGAGAACTGATGGAGACAAAATAAGGACAATCCATATCTGAAAGTAACCTTCTACTTCTACAGTATCTTGCAGTGCAGAGAGGATTACAATATATTTTCCAATTAATAAACAAACCCAGATAGCCTAAGAAGGTAAGTCCCATATCATGCTCATTTGTAGGTTGCACACTTCTATTTTTTCGTTAAATTTTTATTTTTGATACGAAACAGAGTCCCATTACTAAAGAGGGCAGCTAAAGATTACAGAAAGACAAAAACTATTTTGCTCTCTCCTGCTTTATGGTCTCTAAACTCAAGAATGCTAACCCCTATTGTTTCTATCTTCTTACTAATTTGCCTCCCTTAATCCCATTACGCTTACTTCTACTCAGCTTTCTCTCAATAATTTGATATTTTCTCTTTGCAGATAACCCCCATTTGAATACTCGTAACATGTTTCAGTTCTATAACATAATGAAGCATGTCAGTGAACATTACACAATAGCATTCAACAACTTTAGACAGTAGAATGAGATACTGAGTACTGCACCTTTACCTATAAGATATTCCATTTACTTTGTTAAAAAAAAGGTTCCCTTTTCAATTTGTAAGAACCTTTATTCAGAAGGGCATGTGAGCAACTAATAATCTTATCAACAACCCCCACTACAAGGAGATATACAATTCAACTCTTAACCTATGTTTAGAACCCAATAATAGAGAAAGAAAAGAATTACACTTTTTATCTTTCCATTGTTTGGTTATTGATGAAAATAAAGATGAAACGAAAATAACTCCATGTTTTCCTTCTCAAGCTCTCTCTTCAAATGGCGTATAATTTGAAGACAAAGTTGGCTCATAGGAAACTTTACCATAACTATATATTCTTCTCTTTATTTACCCTTAACCAAACAGAAGAAAATAAAAACTTCCGGATTTTTTTTATCTTCTCTATTTTCTCTAGCTGACAGAGAACCAAACATAGGGTTAGAATAGAAGTTGCAACTAGCAATGTGCAAATTAGGTATTGACATGGCAGTAACATCTATTCTATCATCAGTCTTTGCCAATTCAAACAATAAAAAAAGAGTTTGAATCAAAAGCATAACAAAACTGAGATTGTAGAAGGCACTGCAAGGCTCAAGTACACAAGCATAACAAAAGTTACTATAAATTTGTTTCAACTTTCAATTGAAAGGGATTGAAAAGAAATCCAATCACACCATGAACAAAACAAATCAGACCTTGAAGAGACAAAATGCACACATACCTATTCTCTTCAGAATGGGGATGTATTGAAAGAAACGTGCCGGGGACAGTAAGAGCTGCCCACATACATAACACTAACCCTAGAAGCAATTCAACAACCACCTGCAATTTCAGTTACCCGTTTAATCACCGAAACACCTAAACAAAATAATACCCATTTTTGGAATTTGCCGTGTTATATCTTACATTCAATGGAGGTCCTGAAAACTCTTCCTCCATAATCTTCAACAATCCCCTGTCTGCAACCAAATCAAATCAACCAATCTTAAAAAGGATCCAATTTCAATCACCACAAACCCTAAAGTTGTTGACTTTCAAATCCAAATAGATACCTAACCACGTATATACTAATTATCTGGCCTTACATTGAACGGTTGAATAAGCGGCATGGGAGAGAATTACAACTCCAAGGATGCCAACCACGAATCCCAAATTCAAAGCCATTTTAGCTCCGATCTCCGTCAGGCTATGGCTCCTGTATCGGCTTCTACGACGTCGTTTGCGATGCACGCACGAATTGTCGTTATTGGGTATTCGACAGTCCAGACTGAGCTTTACCCTTCGCTTTGTTGAAGAAGCTGTATTAAAACTTCAAAAGACTCCAAAGCGGTGTCGTTTAAGTAGTTTTTATTTTTATTTTTTTGTGAAAGTTTCATAGTATTACAAGGACACTATTTCCGGACACGACATGTCGTTTACTTCTTTGTCATCTCCTCCGCTTTAAGCGGCCACAGCCAGACGGTTCATAGCAGAAGCAGGGTTGGGTGTTGGAGCTCTGAACTCTAATACTTAAACGCAATCACATAACATGGGTCACCTTGTGAATCTACTTCAACTTCAAACAACTCTGTTTTTCAGCAACTCTCCCACATGTTCAAGTATTGCTCTCAAGCCTCACACTTTCGAATATCTCAAAGCAAATATCTTAACATCCAAGTGTAAGGTAAGGCACTAGCCCACTAGCTAAATTTCAGTTCTTTCTTGTTTTGTGTTACTTTGTTTTTAATTGGGTTTTGCTCTTTTAGGCCTTTGGAGGAGGAGAAATGGATGCCTTGCCACACTTGCAGGCTCTTAGAAAGTTTCCAAGGAAGGAGCTTGTTGCAAAAGTTGTACTGGTCAGATTTGACTCTACCCTTTTGCTTCAGGAACAAGGGGAGGAACACCGATTTCAACCCAATGCACTCTTCACTATTAAGTATTTGCACCAATCTGGGGCTAAAGTAGTTCTTGTTAGTGATTGGAGTGTTAAAACTAATCCTAGACTGTTTGTCGCGCAGTCTGTTGCAGGTATATAATGCTTCACACTAATGTTAGTTTTTTCGCTAGCATTTTTGCCATTATGATGCTTCATGACAGTGAAAAAAAAAAGGCGGATTTATTTAAGCATGAAACATGGGGCTATGATATGACAATTCGACATGTTGAATTGCTGATCATTGTTTATTGCTTGATGGTCTCCACATTTCAGAGTTCCTGTCATCTCTTCTTGAGTACAAAGTTGTTCCAGTACAATGCATTTCTCAAAACGTGGTATCAAAGAGGGAAGGCTTTGAGAAAGGAGATATTCTTCTTCTTGAGAATCTTTCTGAGTTTAGAGGAGAAGTTGCCAATTGTTCAAAATTTTCTCAAGCATTGTCATCAGGAGTGGATATTTTTGTTAATGATTACTTTTCCCGGTCTCATAAGATTCTTGCATCCACCTGCGGAGTTGCTCACTTCTGCTATGCCAACTTAGCTGGTTTTCACTTTGAGGAGAGCCTATCTCAACTTAGAAGGGCTACAGAAAGCAACACAAAACCGCATGTAGCAATTGTATGCCTCCACTGCTAGTATATTAGTTCCATTATTTGTGTCTGGTTCCAGTCAAACTGAAAACTTATGGACTCTTAACTTTATTATCTTTGGCAGTGCAGATTGGAGGGGGTAATCTCTTTGATAAAGCAGCTGCTTTGCATTCCTTAACTTCCCGATGTGATGGGTTAGTCTTTGTTGGAATGATGTCATTTCAAATAATGCATGCCTTAGGGCTACCTGTTCCCTTGAATTTGGTGGAACATGGGGTACTTAAAGAAGCTCTAGATATAGTCCAGGTTGCACACATTAGAAATGTACAGATCCTATATCCAAAAGACTTTTGGTGCAAGAATGATCATCTTCCAAAGCAATTGGAAATATTTCCTGCTCATCGTATTCTGGATGGTGAGCCTGCTTTTGGTTTACCAAAAATATGATGCCCCTTGACTCCTTTTCTTTTCATGAATGATTAGAACATGTATGAATTGACTAGTCCTTTTGACTGCTTTTGTTGACAATAATATCATTATTTTTCAGTTTCCTATGTTGCAACTGTGTAATCTGAGTGTCATATAATAAATTTGTGAAATTGGGTTCTCAAAGTCTTTTCCCTATTTTAGGGTGGGTACCTGTTGATATTGGGCCTGCATCATTTGTTGAAATGAAGTCCATGCTTTCAAGGTGCAAGGTAAATAAAAATACTTATGAAGTAAGGCAGAAGAATTGTCTTTTGGTTTTCAAATACTGTTTTGAATTAAATTTGAGGTGCAGTATCAATTCTTAAGTCTCTATCTTGGTATGTATGCAATGCATCTTTTTACCGATAGATTTTAGCATAAGAGTGTTATGATACTTTATCTAAGGACTAAATTTAGCATGCTTAATGTAGCCCTCGAAAAGTTTGTTTCATTTTCAACTTTCAACTTTCCAATTTTAGGCTCCATATTCATTATTCTGTTCTTTCACATATTTATGGTCCTTTATAATTATACAGTGAAATTTTTAAGGTATGTTGTAAAGTTTCAAAGTTAAATTTGGCGAATATAGTGGTGTAGATGCACTTTGTCTGGTATAACCACTAGGATTAAATTCCACCTTGATGTCATATGTATTTTCTTTCTTGATCGCAGTCTGTTCTCTTTTGTGTTTTCAAGTACGCATTATTGCTGGCCTTGTGTGGACTCATTGTCAGACCTCCCTGATTTGAATTGCAGAAAGTCACTTGGATTGGTCCAGTGAAATTCCGTACGAGTAACTGCACAAAAGGAGCTTCTGAACTGGCTCAAATGCTTAATCAACTAAGTCAAAGCAACTGCAACATAACTGTTGTTGGGAATAAGGCATGTGAAGCAATGGTGAAGGAATCAAATTCCACCTTTAATTTCACTATGATTAAGGATGCTTCAGTTGTGTGGGAGTTTCTCAAAGGCAGAAAACTTCCGGGGGTCATGGCCTTAGATAGGGTACGATTCATATCTTCTTTCATAATGTGGATTGATGCATCAATCTGACTTCATTCTCATCTAAAGGAGCTCAGAGATCTTAGTGATGTTATTCACTTCAAAATGTAAATATTTTCCAGCATTTCATAACACTATTTAAAAAAATATTTTCAAACTTCTTAAAGTAGTTATCTAGTGCAGGCATACCCTTTTGATATTGATTGGAGTGATGCCTATTCTGATCCAGCTCAACCTTTGGTAGTTGATATTGGAAGTGGTATTGTCTTTCATCTTCTTCTCCCTTCCTATGGATTTCTTTTTCCGCATTGAGGTTTCAGTTTGTTACCTTATTGTTGTTCTACATGTATAAGCAAGATATTAAAGAGAGAGAGAGAGAGAGAGAGAGAGAGAGAGAGAGAGAGAATCATAAGGATTAGGTTCTAAAGGAAGCTAAATTTGATGCAACTGACAAATTTCTGATTGGAATAAATAAATAACAAGGCTTGTTGAGTTGAAACAGTTGTATAATTTCAACATGCCCTTTATGATTTGGTCATGAGATAGTCATAGCAGTTACTGGTTATTTACTGACTCCGAATAATACATGGCAGGTAATGGAATGTTTCTTTTGGGGATGGCCAAAACAAGGAAGGATTTGAATTTTCTTGGTTTGGAGATTAATAAAAAGGTTTCCAGGATGTGGAAATTTTGTATTCTTTTTGCCTATTCTTATCCTCTATTACTGACAGTTTTACAGCTTTTTTCAGCTTGTAAAACGCTGCCTGGACTCTGTTCACTGGCGTGGGATAAGAAATGGGTAAGGGTTGTAGCCTTGGTGCTGCAAAAAAATTATGGCCTTGTGAATTTGCTTGTCTAACTGACTGTTGCATGAACTTTAATGACCTGTGTCTGCAATGTGCATGTCTGGGTTGCTTGTGCCACATACAATTGTGTGTTTAATGTTGTAAGTTAAAACTTGAATGGATCCAGTCTGTATGTGTGTATGCTCGCACGTGTGTGTTTGAATTTGGGGTTGGAGGATAGGAAACTATGATGCTTCCATTTATAGAATTTGGTGTGTTTAACATTATAGGTCCGCTTCATCATCTTACATATATTTGTCTTGCTTTTGTCTACTTTAGGTACTTCATCGCAACAAATGCTACTTCAACATTCCGATCCATTATTTCTAGTTACCCCGGAAAGCTAGTGCTTGTTTCGATACAGGTTGGGATTGCAACTCTATGTCTCTTTTCAACTTGAAACATCTGCTTCTTTTATCAAGTGACTATCCATGTAAATGTGCATGTTAGAGTTAGCAATATATAATCTGTTAAACTTTAAGAACCTACAAAATGATAGCCCTTTATGCATTATGAAAGACATGCTAAACCGAACTTTTTTCATTTCTTCCTTTCTTTAAAGGAATGTTATATGTGCTTCATATGTTTCATTGTCTTCTCTAAAATTATTTGATAACTTCTAAGTAATTGCCTTGTATAGAACAACCTGATGCCACATTTTCTCATTATAAGTTGAGAAATATGTGGTTCTCTGTTATTTAAAAAAAAAAGGGTACTATGTTAAGTTCTCTATCACTTTACTTGAAAATGACATGGAAAGTAGGGCAGTATATTTGATGTAATGGAAAATTAAATGCATTTTCTTGTCCTTATAGTTTCATCAGTCTTGCATTCAATGCTTATGTTTATTTTTATCAATAATTAATTGGGATTTTTTTCCCCATTTAGTGCCCGAATCCTGATTTCAACAAACCAGATCATAGATGGAGTATGCTGCAAAGGTCATTAGTCGAAGCAGTTGCTGATCTGCTTACAGCTAATGGAAAGGTAAAACTATTTTGCAGCTCCACTTCCATAAGGAGCTCCATTTTAACTCTGTAGTTGACTTTCTTTCCCCCCTTCTTCACCTTTATTTTCATCACTGCAAGTAATGACACCATATACTCCATGATTTATACTTAAGACTACACAACTAGAAAATCAATGTAGGTCAGCTGCACCTGCATGACAGGGATTTGTCAGTTTATTTGCTAATTTCTGTTATATTTACTAGGTCTTTCTGCAATCTGACATAGAGGCCGTCTCTCTGAGAATGAAAGAACAGTTTCAGAGATATGGCAAGGGTAAACTTACTGTGGTGCATGAACAAAGTTTTGCCATAACTAATAGTGGGTGGCTTAAGGACAACCCATTTGGAGTTCGATCTGACTGGGAACAACATGTCTTAGCTCGTGGGGACCCTATGTACAGATTAATGCTTTGCAAATCAACCACTACTGAATAAAGTTGTTGCAGTCGCCGATGGAAGTAAATGGAACGTCTCATTTTGCAGTGGTCTAGGGTCCTTTCTTGGTTCTGTTTCTCCAAGCAAATTATCCTTCAGTGGTGATTGATGTGGGCTGCCGCATTTATGATCTTACCAAATTATAAATTGGTAGCACTAGTTCCAGATGGATGGAAATCTTTACTTATGGTGGTATGCCAGCAACAAATAGTGCAACTGCTCTAAAACAAAGGATGGTGGTGGGATGAATGGATACAATGTGTAGCACATACAGTATCGAAAGAATGAGAGGAACAGAATATGTTTTGAGAATGTTACGAAAGGTTATGATCGATATCCTCCCTGGTGTCTGTACAACAAAGGAACCATAGAACAAGCTTCTACTGTAGCCATCTGAAGTTGCTCTGTGTATCATTTTGATCCTTATTACTACCGTTGTATTCATTGTCACTTGTTTGTAACAATTTTGGATGTAAATTCTGTTTTTACCGTATAAATACGCTAGTTTCAGGAAAACATTGTTTCTCCTGACGTAACCATTCAATTACCTCTTGTGTTGCTGTTCTACTGCCTCAGAAAGGACTGGCTTTAAACTTACAAGAAGATGAGGCCTCCTTGGCAAGGTTCTCTTATTTGGCTAAATGGCTAAATGGAGCGCTGTTTGACATAATTGTAGCCTGGCCTTTTCTTTAGCGTGAGATTATTCCCTTTGTCTCTTTGGCTTTCTCTTTCTTTTGACATTTCCTGTTCTCTACTCTAAATCTAGTGCGCACACATGGTTGAAAAGGTTCTTTAAAAGTAAATTACGCTTCCTTCTTTCTGCGATGCTGCCATGATTGATCACCTGCATTGCATGTGGAAAAGTCCACAGTTGGACTTCTTTATTGTTTGGTCTTTAGGGTTGCGTTCATGATGGAGAGTTAATTAATCACTTCGTCAAAATATGCGTTGGTTCATAAAGTTGTATTGGTATAGCGGTATTTTTCTTTTCAATGTTGGAAGAAGTTTTAGTCTTAATAATTTTAAGTATGGGACTATATGCCAAATTAGGTTCCTTTGTGTCTTTGTGATGAGGAATATTGTGTAATGATAATACTGTGACAACAGTAATACTAAATAATGTTTCTTTTACATACCCTATGGAAAATGTAGGCTTTGCATTAGCATTGGAAAGTTTGGGAAATAAGACGTCAATTCGAATTCATCACACATGCTATTCATAGTGAATGCATAGTTTGGGAAATGAGACTTCAAATCGAATTCATCACACATGTTCAAAGTGAATGGTTGATTGTTAGAAGGGAAAGAAAAATATTAATGGCATATCATTCATGATTATGATATATTGGGGGCAAAGAATCCAAATTGAACATTGACATGTATTTCATCCATGAGATTGATCTATACTTTCTTCATATAATTAATTCAGAGTTAGTTACCTATGCTAGGTAAGAGTAATATTTTGTACATTGATTGTATCAGTATTATTTGTGCCGGAAGCATTATTTACAGTGTATTTCAGCTCATCATTTCCGGTCGATATAACTTTCTCACAAACTATAACTCAAATGGCATAAAATCAAATCTAGGTTAGTTGGATGTTTGATAACAACCTCAACCATATCCTTATCATAACGATCGTGTCGATCATTTATATCATAACGATCGTCATTTATGTTTTATCATATCTAATATCTATATAATCTATTAGATCGTTAAAATAAGAACACAAACTTTTTTCTCCTTTTTTTTTATTAGAAGTAATAAAAGCATCAACAAAATTTAGTCTACCTTCTACTATTCCTAAAAATTTAGGTCTTCATAGAATCACTTGAAAAGTTGTGAAAAATTAGGTCATGTTGAGTAACCTCTATGTCCAAGTCCTTGCAAAATAAGAAAAAAAAAAAAAAAACAACCCGTTCCCTTTGTGATATGATCCCAATATGTCAATAATCCTTATTTTTCGTCCTTTCCAGTGAATTAACTAATAACGCTTTTTTTCTCAAAGTAAAATTCGTTCCTTTTTCGAACTGTAGACGTCTGTCGGAAGGTTCTATCCGGTTTTTGTTTGCATTTCTTCAATCTCAGGAGCTCGTCCGTTCGATTTTAGGGTTTTCTGGGTTCTTCGAAATTTCTATCAGGTAATTTATGAGTGCGAATTCTCCAGATTCATTGATTTATGTGGTTGACAGAGCATAAGTTGATTGATTATTTGTTTGTGTAGTTCGAAACCCTAGCCGTCGTTTGGCTGCTGGGGAAAGTTGAAGAAATTACAATTAGGGTTTTTTTTCTTTCAATATTTCTTTTGTACTACTTCTGTTGATTTTTTTGATAGGAAAAGGTTAATTTTAACTCTACATATCGAGAAAAAAAAAAGTTTTCTGAGGTAGAGTTCAGTTCAGGAGTTGTGATTTGGATCTAAATTCTTTAAGAGTACATTCTCCATTTCTATTGTTGTTTTCTGGCTTTTTTTTAGCTACTGATTATAGTTCTCTTTTATTTTTTATTTTGAATACTGGAGTTCAATTTCTTGCTTAACTTTTACTGAATTAGATTGTTTTTTTGTAAGCCAATGTAGGCTCTGTTTGCCAAACTGGATGCTAATATGGTAATGGATTTGTTAGCATGAGCATGATTTGATATTATTACTATTTGCCCGGTTTGGATTGCTAGATACACTTCGGGTCTGCAAATACAAATTCCTTATTCATGTGAATAGTTTGATCACATTTGTGAGCTTCAGTGCTTGTTTGATGGAGTGCTTTTTTTGTGAACTTACTTTCCAATCATTCTCATGTAAAATTTTACCCAATCAAGGGAAATTTGAAAACTTAGATCTCTTATGTAAATGAACTCCAAAATGAAATCTTTTAACATTATGAAGTATCTGGAGAAACTGAATTTGGGGTGCATGAATGCACATCTTCTGGTGAATGTGAATGTGTGAACTCACTGATTAGGTTGTTGCCTCCTACTAATTTAACTTTGTGTCAATTTACTGCATTGGTTTTTCCATGCTAAGCTTAAATCCTCTTGTTACAATTAACAGTCTGGTTTGCACCAAGTTAGAGGTCAAACAAAGTATTGCTTGAAACCCGGAAGCTGAGAGCATGAGCATATAGGTTATGCATTCAACATGCAGATAGGGTCAACAGTCATCGTGAACTCCGAGGCACATCCTCATCAAGGGGGTTTCTTTGTTCAGGATGGAGGTCCGGGTTTAGCTCCATCCACCTCAAATCACGTTGCACTGCAGCAGCCTGGTATACTTTATGCGATCAATTTGTATCTCACGTACTTATTATGGGCTTTCTTCTGATTGTGTTACCTTCCAAAGTACAAATTTCCACCTTCTAATTGTTGTGAATTTGCAGTGAAAAAACCAACCCGGCAATGGGCTGCTTGGACACACCAAGAGGAGGAAAGTTTCTTTGCTGCTTTACGACAAGTTGGCAAGGCATGCTCCTGTCCTTGGTTTTTTTGGTAATTAAATATTTTAAACTTAAAAATCCCTAACTGTGCTATACTTGGATTGCAGAATTTTGAAAAGATAACTTGTCGTGTTCAAAGTAAAAACAAGGATCAGGTATTTTCTAGAACAATTACTTTTGGCTCTTTCCATTCATTGGTTGATTGATTCTCCTGTCAACATATTGATTTTGATTTTCTTTCTCTTTTCCCTTCATGGTTTCTAGGTCAGACATTATTATTATCGTCTTGTGAGGCGTATGAACAAGCTGCTGGGTCCGGGATTATATTTGGATTCCAAAAATTCTAAAGATACTAATGCTGCTATGCTTCGATGGTAAGATTAATTATCAATCAGTATTTTCATTTTTCTTACCTATGGAGATCCTCTAAAAAGATTGCAGCCTGGAGTTGGATCTTAGTTTTTAACAGTCACTGTTGGGAGCATTTGACCCAATATCTATTGTAGAGAATCCGTTTATATCTCTCCAGTCAACTATATTAATTGTCAATCCCTATGGACTAGGAATTCCTTTATATATATTTCCTATTGTAACGTTAGCTTGGCTGTATGTATACTTTCCTCCAATAGTGAGAAGAATACAATTCAGATTACACAAACTGACATCTAAATTGTCTTGTTAAATAGAAATACAAATGCGCAAAGAATTATATGTTTTGTGTGACTTTGTTGCAGGTGGTCGTTGCTGGAAAAGTATAGCTGCAAAGCATCAAAGCTTCACTTGAAGCCCCGAAGATTTAAGATCTTTATAGAAGCATTGGTTAGTAAAAACATTAGTTTTAATCCAAGACTATGTTCCTCTCTGTCTCTGTGTGTGTGTGTGTGTGATCCAATGATTTTTCGTTTATTTAATAGAGTAGAATTATACTGACCACCAATAGCCATGATATACCATTGCCTCTCAACTCATCACATGCCATGTGTTGTGCTTGGAGTGGTAAAGGTGCACCATGGTTAATGTAGTTGAGCAAAGTGCACTATGTCTGATATTGATATATTACACTGGTCATGGACTTACTGTCATGTTTTTTGCACAAAGGAACACCAACTCCTGAAAGACCGGAAGAAGAGTGTTAGGAAACGGCCTTCTCAGGGAGAAAACTGCCCTCCTAATGCTCCAAGCACACTTTCCAATCAGAATAGACCATCAGGACATGATAATCGCACAGTTAAACTGGTTCTTGTTGACAGTCACAATATTCAGAAATTAGGACCTGGAAAAGCGTCATTAAAGCGCAATGTAAATATAGGTGTTAATCGTAGCAACAAAGGAGACTCAAGTACCATGAAACCTGCTAGACAACGACGAAAACCAGGTGATTCTTTTTGTTAGTCTACCCACTTTTGCATAGTCTCTCTTTTACAGAAGCTAGGGTATGTGGTCCTTGCATTCTAATTTCATCCCATTGACAATCTTCTCATGTAAGTTTAGAATTTAATTGCTAGTGGCTGATTTGTCTCAGCTGTGCAAATTGGCTTCTAAGATCAGTGTGCTTTTCTTCTTTATATATATTCTTTAAGTGAACTGGTGTAAGAATGAGCATAGATATCTGATGTCAGATTTGCATGATTCTAGCAACCACTTAATACAGCAGGGAATATTTGAATGCATTTGGACTTCAGAGCTTCACCCTGATTAAATTTTTATATAACTTGCTTGAATCTTTGGATGGTTGAAATTACTCTAGGTTTATGAACTTTAAGTTTTTCAAACCTAACATGCGCCTTTGTGAAGTCACATTGCTGTTCTTGCCTCCTTCAAACATAGCCTCTGATTTTATTCTTCGTGTTTTCTTTTCCTGTGACTAAATTGCGTTACTTGTCTTCCTAGTAATTAAAAGAAATTATTTGAAGGTTTCACTTAATTTGTTTTTTCCTTGTTGGCTATGGTGAACTATCGCTTCTCGTTCCAGGTACAATTGGTGCCATCAGCTGCATTTTGGTAGATTACTTATGAAAATAAGTTGCAGCACCTGATTTTCAAAAGAAACTAGTCAACATATTCACTAGGATGA